TTCCCTGGCATAGCGACATCAAAAGTACTCTTAACGCCCATTACAGAAAAAGAGCAAACTTTGAGTTTCCATTACCATTATCACGTTATTTTGAACGGAATTCCACCACCACACCCACGACTAGCTTCCACGCATTGAATACTGCTAGAGTGGTTTTGAGTCATTCATGTTTTGCTCAGTTATCACTCGAAATTTACGGATTTGAGATGAGGCGATCGCGCTCACAAAACTGCGCTTCACCCACAAGGTCAAGAAACCGAAACGCGTGCCGTCGTCAGTGTGTTAAGCTAGGATCATCCTAAAGCGTTACCATAACAATGAAGCGAGAAATCGAATGATAGACAATGGACACACCCTGACGTACCTGTAAAATGAACAAAGTCCTCTGGTCCCTTTCTTCTGCACTCATGTCTAGCTTAGCACCGCGTGGCGGTGAATTACGTGCTGTGAATGGCATGACATCCCGTCGTTCCGGACCAGGAAGACGATCTGCAATGTGATATTATACTCCCGAAATATGTAGTCTCATCGCAATATGCGATCTATGAAAAAAAAACCAACTTCGCGGCGGTGGCGATCTTCTCATGGGTGAACGTCGGTCACGATGGTCAATAACGCGTGGGCGTGATCGGGAACGACGATCACGATCGCGATCCCGATCCCGATCACGACGACGATCCCGCGAAGAACGGCGGCGGTCACGCGAACGAGACCTAAACCAAAACTGAGGATGTCACAAGAAAAAAAAAGAAAACCGTAAATTTGTAATAAAAAAATACCTGGAGCGTCTCCTTTCGCGCGATCTGCTTCTTTCGCTCCTTCTGCGGTCCCTGCTTCGGCTGCGCTTACGATCACGAGATTTCGAACGACTACGACGACGGCGACGATCACGGCTCGAGCTACGTTTCCTGTCGCGGCTAGAACTGCGCTTACGCTTCTTACGATCACGGCTTCGCGACCTAGAAGATGGTTGCTATGCTAATTGAATAAAATAAACGCCTTATCCTGAAACCAGCAGAATCTGAAAATCCATAAATATCCTCGATCCTCGGGGGTTTTCCATGAGACGGCATGTGAGCTTTGCGCCAAGATCCTGCAACAATGGCCCGAACCAACCGTTCACTCTCTAGGCAAATAGCCGTTTACCTAAGTTCATCAGTTATTCACGTTCTGCTACCAAAACATGCTAGCAAAAACCATTACTAATCGGATCGATACGTCACAAATTCAACATTTTTCCATGACAATAGTGTACAAAATTCCAAAAAATGCACTGTTAAAATATTGCCTCAAAAGAGATGCTGCTTCTTTGTGTTTCCTAACATGGATAACTACTTTTTAACGAAATCTGAAAGCCTAACGACATGTGAAGAGGTCCATTTTACGAACGTTTGCATGTAGTTACTACTATTGTGGGAAGATCTAATTCGTACAGTAAAGAACTGATGAACTATTGCTGGTGAATAGCGAACTTAACAGCGAACGATTGGCTCGTTGTTGATGCCGCATTGCATGGTCACGACGCGTACCTTTTCCATTGGAGAATGCGTGGGGGATCGACTTTCGTTTACGCACGTATGCCAGTCACAAATCCATGCGCGTTCGGAATATCGTCTACAACGACGACCAAGTCCTTAGTTATTAAATGTAACAAATTCCCAACATTTTAACCGCTTTGCATTAAAAAACGCCAATCCATGTTTAGAAGCGTAATTCCCTCCTCTGATTAACCTAATCTGAGCTATTGTTAGATTACTCTAAAAACGGATTGAGCAAGCATCCAAGAACAACATGTGACCCAAACAAACCCCAGGTGAGGTCCAAAATCAGATTGGCTCTACAGAATGTTTGTAAACAGCTGACGCATCCGGCCAATCAGACTACACTGATTGGTTGCTAACTAACGCCTCCGCTCAAACAAACACTCACTATCCCCTGAATTTTGCTATTGTGAGAACGCTACCGACAAGAAAAGTATATTACACCCATCGCCCATTAAGTCTTTATGTTACGTACAACGCCCACAACTTCACTATTCTCCAGGCTGTACTCAACATAATGAGAACTTAGTTAAACCTCATTCGCTGACTTTTTATTCCATCCCTCACGAAAGCCCTTCTCATAACTCATTCAATATGTTGGATAAATGGCCCCAGTTTTTTTTTTCGATTTCAGCTTGATGGAGAGCCTTGCGAGTTATTCGCCTGACCCTTAACCGTTCTTACCTCGATCGACTTTTGCTCCGAGTCTTGTCCTTTTTCTTCTTTGATGAACCGTTCTCCTTATCCTTCTCTGCGGTCACTGTTTCTTTAGTGTCGCTGCTCACTGTCTGAAAGGAGAATTAATTACTTCCCGAGTTACGACCATGAAAATAGGTGAAATTATGAGTCCTATTTTGAGAAGAAATTTGAGCTTAAATCTTCTCTCACACATAAACAACAACGTCGTTAGGTTCTTGTGTTGAACGTGCTGCACAAAACATTACTTTACGAATTTCAAATGAGACTTCCTAAGGCGGCTTTTTGTACATATTTAGCATTAAATCACACGGCAAAGAATCGTTAATGGGACGCAGGTATCGTGATCGTGAACCAAAGACGCGCTCAAACTAGGCTTTTCTATGGGCTACCTAAGCTAGAAAGAAAAACCATTATAAACAAAATAATTGATACGGTTCGTTTCGCTCCTTCCTCAGACGAACCTTATTATTTCGTCAATCCCCGGAGCTCATCAGTGAGTTGGGATTGGCGAAATAAAGACACAGGGGAAAGACGAATAAACCTTGATGTGACGTACTTATCATGCAGAGGAGCATGCAATGAAATGAATTGTATATTGACTTAAGTGAATAATTAGAAATAAAATGAATGAAATATGCAAAAGTTATAAAATTGATCAAAACATTCAAGAATTATAAAAATAAAATTACAAAGGTGGGAGCATTTGTTAGTGCTCCACTATTAATTAGGTGAATTCATTGACTAAGCATTCCTTTCTTACCCAAAACCAGTACTGTAATCAAAATCTTTGAGCACTTTCCTGCATTTCATTAATCGGTTACCTGTTACTAGCTGTGTTCTGTTTTATTTTTTATATTAAACACCGATAATAAATCACCATAATCATCATTTCTTTAGAATTACTATACGCATTAAAGCATAATCGGGCTCTGAATGAGAAAACTTTTTTGAGATATAAGGACTTGGAATATTTCAGCTAATGCGACTTTTTATTGCTAGAATTTGATTCAATTCTGGATATTGAATATGCCGCTTCCAAACCAAACACTGCTGAACAGCCGTTGAACGGAAATTCTGAAATGTGACAATGGAAAGAATGAGCGAAAACCGATCCACTTCGAAATATTTTCAGCTTAACAAAGGATGTCTCGGTTGCTGAACTCCTCTCGAGAAGCGCAGTCCCTACCCATTTTGAACAACAGCTTTGTTAAGAGCTCTTTTTACTGAGGGTGGCAAAAATCCTATGAAGACAAATCAACGATTTTCATTCAGTTTGACAGCTGCTCAAATTATTGGTCATCACCCTACGGAGCAGGTCCACATAAACTGCCACTTCAATCGATGTCAACTATTGTAAAGAAAAATGTGAATAGACTACCACTATAGTTCGATTTCCCCAATGCTTTAAACTATTTTTTAAAATCGAAAACTTTTCTGCGGTCATTCGGGTGCAGCAAAAAACAGCCAAAGGCTTTTTCAGGAATTTTGTTTTCGAACAATTCGGTAATAATTTCGGCACTCACTGAAGTGAGAACGAGTTTACATGTTTGCGCAGTGCTTTTGAAAGATAAATGGACAAGGTCTCACTTCTCTTCTCCACACACAAGCTCACCTCTGATGATTTCGACTCCAGTGCATTCTCGAGCATATCGTCCACGTCAAATCCAGCATCGTCAGCCATTGTGGTCCACGTTCGAAATGGGATAAACTGAAGAAGAACTACCTCTTGCTCCTGCCACAAGCCCACTTACACCACGACCGCAACCAATGTGGCACACCGACTATCGAAAATTTGAGCGCAACTGCGGCGTCATTTGACGGAGCTATTGATCGCATGCCCCGCCCATTGCAATTGGAGCACGACTTTGAATTCGGCGGGAGTTTAAAATTTCTATAAAATAGTGCGAATGCCAGGGCGTATTCCTCCTTATTATGAACTTTCTAGCAGGATCGGAACGCCATACTTGACCATTACAGGGTGAAAAGCCCCCTTTATGACAAAATTTTTCGAAGATCGAAGAGGGGAACTTCTTCTGCACAAATATCCCGAAAACTGCTTCGCATTTCAGCTCTTTGCGTAGAAATTCTTTGGTACCTTTGCGTCGAAATGGGCTTAATGGTTGACATCAAAGACCGTATTGCTGGGGACGGGAGTTAGTCATTTTGATCCCTCTACATACTTACAATTTACAACGATGATCCATACCCTCAATCCGCCCATGGAGAGGTGAAACTAGGAATGATCCCTATTCCTGTTCTCGAGGAAACAGCAATCAGACGTTCCATCCTTCGTTCTAGGGTTCCTAAGCGCTCTTGTCTGAAATAACCCTGATCGTCAACCATCAATTGGTTGAGTTCATGTTCAAGTCAAATATGCGCAGAACTTTCAATATGCGCTCAGAACTTTTATGTGGCAAAAAATATGTGGCTGCTTCAACGAAAGTTCAACTTCGGCGAAACGGAGACTGAACGACTTCTTCGCTCACCACCCCTTTAAATAAGTTTAAACATGCTCGAAGAATAATATTTAGTTTCGGTTAAAACGGTTAATTAAGATAGTAAGAAAAACGGATTAGTTTGACTCAACTTGTTTCTATATTGAACATGATAATTTCATTAAACGTGTACTACTTAACGTTAAACGGTTACCACTAGAATTATCAAATTTCTTCAAAAAGTTTGCTGTTGAGAAAAGAAAAGGATCCCTGCAAATCAAGAGATTTTACCCTTTCACTAAATTTCGAAAGCGTTTCCATGATGCTCCCGTTCGCAAATCTTGCATTTGTGAAAATTTTCCCTTGAGCCTTCAGAAGTAAACCATTTCTTGCCATCCCCCGTTCCTAACACATTCGGACATTTCCTTCGGCTCCGAGTTCATCGCGATTCGTCCAAAGAATTTTCATCGCTCTATCAATCAAATCTGACGCGCTTGGCGACAACAAGTCCTGCTCTGGATGCGCCATGCACGCACCTGTAACTAAAAGTCTAATCCATTTGGAAGGGAACTTCCCTCCCGTTATCGCCTATGAGAGCCATTCATTCTAATCCTTGCTGTATTGTGATGAAAGCCCTCAGCCTGCAGATGCGGTCTACCGTCACTTATACAGAACACGTCCACTATTTTCGTTAATTTCCTTGTGCTGTCAGTCAACGTCGTTTAAAGCGTCAATCTGGCAAGAGATGGACGGAGCGTCCGAACTCAAAAGGAAGCTCTCATTATGTCCTCATTAACTCCGTTTTCTATCGATGTCAACCTCCCTTCTTTGGCGAACAATGATACCGAAAAACACTGGCATTCACATCGGCGCATCGGCCTTCAAAGAACATTGCATCCCTACCATCCCTACTATACATAAAGCGCTAAGCCTTGTGGTATATCACATCTGCCTGTCACGAAATTCTGCACTGCTCAAAGAACTACCTGCATAATCCGTGTGAAGCTTGGGATTGGTGGGGCATTTGTCAAGAAGTACTAAGCACCTGTCAGCTGGACGGAGTTCCGCCCGCAGTTGGCGGGGCATGCGCCGAGTTGGGCGGTACCGCCGGCAGAAGTATCGAGTTAGATTGCAAAAGAGGTCCAAATATCGAGAAAACGGATAAGTGTGGCACTGGGTTGCTGAGTCGAGTTGCGGAGATCCGCCTGCGGTGGGCGGGGCGCCCTATAAATGTGTGGTGCTCAATCAAGAATTCAAACTCAGTCAGAAGAAACCCTACAGAGCAGGGGAAACATGGGATAGAAGAGCAGAGTCGGGTCCCAGAAGTTGAAGGAAGAGAGGGTCCACCAACAGGTCGTTCGCCACTGAGGCGTGGGACATGCACTGAAGTGGGTGAGTTCTAGGTTTATCTCCACGGTATATGCCATGTCCTCTTTGGTTGGAATAGAGAAT